CCCCTTCCCGGGGGGTGGGGGGGGGGGGCAGATAGCACCTCCCTGAAATGAGAAGGGCACCTCCCTGAAATTGCTTTTTTCAGGTTTGGGATCCCTGTACTGGAGTGGAAATACAGCCGAATATTATAGAGCCATTTATTCCAGACTGCAAACAGCTTCTTCTTTTTTTTTTTTGAAGCCCGTGGACGTGCGTTTAAACAAACTTCCCCCCGTGAACAAAAAAAGTGAACCGTGAAATCACAGCACACAAAAACGTGCACAAGTTCGGGCTTCTGCCGCCCCCGAACCCTCCAGCCAGACCAAGCTTCGGATCCGTTCAGTCAGAAAGCCATGTACCGGGCCGTTCCCCTCTCACAGGAAGCAACCCAGCACGTATTTAGGACCCCACCTGGAGCTCCTCCCACCGGACCAGCGCTGACTTGCCGCTGCTCTCCCGTGCCGAAGGTAAGTGAAAAAAAAAAAAACATAGCGCAAACATCGGGGCATTTTTACAAGTACTTGCCAAAATGCCCTGCTTTTACAGGGGGTGGGGGTCGGGATCGGGGGGCGCAAAATTGCACCTTGCCCACCTTGACTACAATCCTAGCACCAGGCCCTGGGAACAACCCCCTTCCCAAAGAGTTAGCAGGCACCTGGATTGGAAGGGGGGTTAGGTTAGAATGCTCAATTGACACCACCGGAACCAAACCCGATATCACTTCCCATGAAGCATCTCACCTTGTCCTTTAGGATATACAGTGACACGGGATTCTCGCAGTCCCGCTCCATGGTCCGTGGAACCACTTCAACTGTGCAGACAGGAAAAGACACCACAATGTCAGCAAAGTATTCTCTCCTGATCAGAACATACACAGATGGGGGAATGTCCCAGACTGAACCTTTCATGGGGCACGTAATGTGCTCCCATCATCCCATGTGCTCCCATCATCCCATGTGCTCCCATCATCCCATGTGCTCCCATCATCCCATGCCCTCCCATCATCCCATGCGCTCCCATCATCCCATGCCCTCCCATCATCCCATGTGCTCCCATCATCCCATGTGCTCCCATCATCCCATGCGCTCCCATCATCCCATGTGCTCCCATCATCCCATGCGCTCCCATCATCCCATGCGCTCCCATCATCCCATGTGCTCCCATCATCCCATGTGCTCCCATCATCCCATGTGCTCCCATCATCCCATGTGCTCCCATCATCCCCCCATCATGCCATGTCCTCACATCATCCCATGTCCTCCCATCATGCCATGTCCTCCCATCATCCCATGTGCTCCCATCATCCCATGTCCTCAAAACCATCCCATGCGCTCCCATCACCCCATGCCCTCCCATCATCCCATGTCCTCCCATCATGCCATGTCCTCCCATCATGCCATGCCCTCTCATCAT